ATTCACACACTTTACTTACGGTGCCTACTGCTCGCTTGACTCGATTATCTCAATTATTTCTCTTCCATCTACAATTATTTGCCGGGCTTATATACTAAAATAGAGGGCGCGTAGAAAAGACTAGAGTTGCCAGGAAGAGTCATGATCCTTCTAGAAATTCATCACGTGTTACCTGCGTCACGTGACTTCCGCTGTCGTAACAATATATATCACATATATATCCAGATATGTAACATTTATTTATCTTGTACAAAAATATAAAAACAGATGAATAAAAACTTATATTTCATTATTACATAAGTATAGGTAATCAAAAAGCAAAATAAAATACTACTTTATTCTTACTTCATTTCCAAATAAAAGTCTGACATGGAATGGATTAGATATGTTTATCCACGAAGTAATATTTACAATACATGAATATTTTAAAGCCTAATAATTTTGAATCGTTGCAGCAGTTTCGGTGGAATGGGATGTCAGAATAGCTAATAAGCAGCATTCAGAAGGACTTTAGAACGATTTTTTTTTTCATCTTACTATCTAGCTTAGTTTATTTGATAAAACTACTCTTTTTTTAAGACACTATTGTGGATTTTGTTAGTTTGACTTTTCGTAATATTACGTAGAAAAAAGGTAATTATAATGACATTAATGAAGAAATCATAAAAAGAGATTAATAACTGTCGTTGTTATAGAAAGAAGAAGAACACGGTAGTGGGCAGCTTTCGTATTTGGTGAATTTGTCTAGTAAAGTTCTTTAGAAGTTGGTTTAGTCATAGAAATTGCGAATTTAAGACTATGAATCATGATTATCATAAAATAAGAGCATCACAATTCATAAAATCAATTATAGTATAGGTAAAACCCATGGTAAATTAAACATAAAACAAAATGAAAATAGTTAGAATAGAATAACAGCAAATATTCAGGGTTTGGTCAAAAAATAGAAACACCTACTGAAAGAGGATCTAATCTACAAAAAATACCACCAAATAACTAATAAAAAACTAAACGTGTAATAGAAATATTACAATATCACTAAAGTAAGAAAAATCGAGACCTCCCTATCCCTTACATCTAAAATTTCCTGAAAATAAGTAAAAAATTCACATGCGGGCGTGCTATAATTCTTGAGTCATCATCATCCATAAATTGTTAAACCAAATTTAGGTAAACTATTTATGTTTTTTTTTAAACACTGGAACGCGCTTTCAATTTGGGGGTGGGGCAGTATTGCAGAGTTCTGCCGATTTAAGCATTACCTTCTACTCGAGTACGACAAAATTTTTGGCTGTTACAGCAACACTGCATTTTGTAGAAATGTTTCATGCGATATTGAACGGGAACATATGATTTCGAATACAAGAGTGAGAATCAGAACTTATTGTACAAAGAAGTAAAAGTTCACTAACGTTTTATTAGTTATTTCTGTCACAAAGAAAGATAAGCGTTTTCGTGCCCCTCCCTCCTGGGAGTACTTAATTCTACATCAGTCCGATTCTGATTGTAATTTGAAATAATCTTATTCATTTTTTATATGAGAATGTACTTAGATGTAGGAAACAAGTGTTGGATTTGAAAATGAACTTAAATAAACGACAGGCAAAAGCTCTGAACAAAAGCTCGATTCATCTATGAATATTTTCATAACCAATTACAAATTTATGAACAACTAAATATAACATTTCCTAAAGAATTTTAGTTCTTATTTACATGATTTCTGTGATCCACAGTTCTCAGTTCAAATCAAAAAACGACTTACATTATTGGGAATTGTTGAATGCACATATACGCAAGTAGTTATATAAGTTATTTAAGGCTTTTGTTCTAGCAATTTAACTTTCAATTTTACAGTGTATTTTTTAGTTTATACAATTTAAGTTATCCAGTATGTTTTAGATCATTTCAGGTTTTATTTGGTTATTGCTTAAGTATAAAATTAAATAATGGATTATCTGTGCTCTGCTCACCACGGGTATTGAAATCCTATCGCTGAGCTATTGAGGGGCGTGCTTATTCTTAAGATTGTTTATAGTTAAATTTTTTAAGTTTTTATTTTTATGTTGATTGTTTAGCAGAAACGCCGTCCTACTCATTAAAAAACAAATTTAGAAAAAGTGAACATTTTCTAGGAAGTTCTGCACGGGAAAAGTATTAGGATTGTGCTGATATGAACTGTAATGTTTTTATATATTAAAAGTGGTACACTTTATTGAAAGAATAAAATTTTTAGTACTATATTTACAAATTACACCAATAAAGATATAATCAAACCCTCACGTAAAGTCCTAGTGAAAGTCGTGTTCTCGTTGTGAGGAGAGCACTTTTACTTAAAACTGAATTCTGTGATAAAGAGATGGTTGTTGCACATACCATAGTTATTTTCTGGAATTGTCTGAATCTTGAATACCTAAAGTGTGAATTTTTTTATGAATTTGTTTGTGGTGCTAATCAATAGATGGCGCTACATTGTATTTATTATTTCTGTCACATACAAGATCCATATATATATATATATATATAGTCGGATGTTGGTATTACGTTTGGTGACAGTATTTCTTGGTAGGCAGTATTTTAGTTAACAACGACCGATGTCTGTTAGGTTTACTTTCTTCGTTAAGTAATT